AATATTAATAGTCTATTGTGTATTAACAATTATTGTACTAACATACATAAGACTACTTATTTTTATTACAAACATGTTTATTTATAGATCAACACTGTATTAATTTTTTGGATTTACTCTGTGCGATCGTCGGGCCATGCATTGTCGCTTCGTCCATCAATATTATAACGATAACGGATAATAATTTGTATGGAACAGACACATAATAATTATTTATTTATCGGTATTTTTCTCGAAATTGGTGACTGGTTTGTATTTGTTGTTTGCTCGTATACTGCTAATCACATACACACGCCTGTCTTATATTTTACTATAAAAAAAAAAAAAAATATATATATATTGTGTACAAGTTCCTAACAACAGAACGCTCTGGTGGACAACTTTTACACTTATTGAACGTTCAAATAATATTGTGCTGTACGGCCATTTGATGTTTTTATAAATTAAACTATTAATAAATCTTCCAATTGATGTCTGTAATTAATAATGTATTATTACAATATTTTATTATATATTTATTACTATTTTTATTAATATTAATACTTAATTATTAATATATTATACATTTTTAGATTCTGAGTTTCTCTTAAAATTGTTTACCCACTTATTGTGTTTTAAATATTTTGATTGTAACAAAGCTGTTAACATACAACACTCAATAATTATTCTTAAAGAGTCGTAGCTCGCAAGTATTTGATACTTAATAAGTAGGAATAATTTTTATAATTCTCTTTTTATACTGCAGTCTCTATTTATTACAAAACCTAATGAACAACCAAAACAAGAAGTCATGTAAAAAAATATATTGTGTTGTGGACTGTCATAGTATTTACCAAAAGGGATATAAATTATACAGTTTTCCAAATAGAAATTATGAAAAAGAACTAAAAGCTAAATGAATTAATACTAATAGGCGAATTAAGTATGTTTATATTTGTCTAATTAATTAAATAAACTTTAAAATATTTAACTTAATATGTTGATGTTAACAGTGCTGATGGATCTTCATGGCAACCTAAAACCCATAATTTTGTGTGCAGCGCTCATTTTGTTGTAAACATTTCGTATAAAAAACCCCGTAGCCCTGCCTACATTCCAACAATGTTTCCTGAGTCTTTCAATAAGACATCAATTAATGAACTTCAGCAGAATTATAGGCATAGTCGATATATGGCCAAACAGAAAAAATTAAATAGTGAACATCATTTACTATGGAATTAAATAATACAAATTTACCATCAAATAATTATTTATTTACAAACAAACATGATATAGGGACTCAAGTAGCATTTGATGTTTCTGATGCTGAATATTTTTCATTTCAATGTATATTTGATGAAATATTAAACTGAAATAATTTTTATATTTATTTCACTTTTGTAGATTAATTCTTCAATGCCTCCTGTTAAATGGGAATATTACAGTAGTGTTCAACATTGAATGCAACTCTCTAACTAAAGTTTGTCCACGATTAACAAAAAAACATTTTGAATTAAATATCATAATATAATAATTTCTCTAAAATGAAAGTAAAATATGCTGACAAGTTATGTATCTTTTAACTCAATTAAATTAAATTAATTTCTAATAAATTAATAATTAATAATTATTGCTTTCTTTTGTATTTTTATGGAGTTTAGGTTTTTAGTAGATCATTAGCAATAGGTATTGATTTTTATAAACAAAAACATTATGAATTTTTCAAAGACTCAGAAGAAACTATAAATTTAAATATATAATTAATGACATTTTTGATGTTTTAAATAGAAAATACCCATTAGAAGGAATCAAAAAAAAAAAAATAAATAAGATGTACAGGTTTTTTATGTGTTGAATGAAAATTGAGAATGTTTGTGTATTAACTTTACTGTTTGAGTGTCTATATGGTGTAATGGTGTAATTAATAACTTGTCCTGGGAGACATATGTTTTGTTTACATCTAGGTACTAAATTGTTCTGTTTTCATTTATGTATATTTAATAGCTGTATGGTATACTTAAGTATACATCTAAAAGTTTATTATTGTAAATTATAAATTAATATTTTATATATATTTTAATTATACTTTGTTTTAAAAGGTTTTGATTAATGTTGGATACAAACATTAAATGTTAATTATCCATCTGCCACTGGAGAAAATTGATTGATTTAGTTGTTCTAGGTGTTACGTCAAGCCATAGTTCGGTTAGATGAGTGGGAAAGTAATGTATCACAAGGATTAAACCATGAAAGATATTTTTTAACACGATAGACTTAGGATAACCATACAGTCGAAAATAGAGTTGGTTGAATATCTTTTGGATAAATGTGAATTTTCGTATGTTTTAACAGTCAAATGTGTTAAACTAAATGTGAAATATGTGTAAGAGGATTAAAAACACTTAACACTTCACAAGATTGTATTGGTAAGGAAGCAGATTTGACTAGAGCAAAATCCAAAGGCTACCTTACTTATCCTGACAGCTATTTATTTATAATTATTAAACACATTATTGCTTTGCAATACATGCAAATTCAATCAATGTATTTGAAGAAACTTTTAATGAATTTTTTAAACTCAATATAAAATTGAAATTTGCATGCACTAACTTTCAACATCAATCGGATATGTTAACAAATATTTTTACTTATTATATCACGATGCGTATGAGACAATACAGCTACATGCAAAATCAAAAAATTAATAAAACAAAAAAAAAAGTTATCTAAATTAGTAAAAACTTGAATTACCAATATAGTTAATAAAATAATCTGAATTAAATATTTGTAATTTTAAAATATTATACCTATTTAAATTGTAAATTATTATTATTAAACTGATTAACTCATTAGTCATTACTGTGAAATGTGAGTTGTCTGCTACTTAATTACATATATATTAATATATTTAATATTATCCATAGGTATTCTATTTCTATATTCTATAGTTAACTTAGAATTTATTCAATTTTATTGTATCATACTTATTGTACATACATTACATTAGTTATTAGTATAAAATTTTCTCGTTTGGAGCGCCTCGTTTATTTGTGGTACAGTAGGAAGTTAGTAACATATTATTCCATCATGAAACGATAGTAATATTCTTTATAAGCTGCTGCACATTTTCAAATGTTACTAATAGTAGTATTATTTTTCAAGGTATTAGGTGCAATAAGAGTTTGAGATTTGGGGGCTTATATGTCTTATACTATGGTATGACCATGGGTCAACCCCTAACCTTCCATCATAACCAAAAAAATATAAATTGTGGTTTTGTAAATGTATTACAATTGTATTTGTAAATTTACTACAACAATGAATTACATTTTCTAGTATTATATCGATATATCCGTTTTTAATATACTTATATATAATTTTTATATAAATACCTGTATAATACTATTTAATCACCGATGAATCTATTTTATATATATATTTTTTTTAAATACTTCCCATTCTGAAATTCTGCCCATGGGCCTGTATTATGGTAGACATATTATCTAAAAAATGATACAAAAGAAAAAACTTCTTGGTACCCAGTAGGTCACCATGTTTCACACTGTTTGATAGATTACATATTGAACAATTACCTTAATTGAAATTACAATTAATAACGAATATCAGTTATCACTGATAATAATTTGATAACAAAAGTAACTCAATTAAAATGGCCGCTGATTTCGTTGCCGCCGTGTTGTGCCCACCCCCTGCAGACTCTAAATATGCATGTAATATAAGGGGTTACCAACCAATATTTGAAATGTATAGGGAGAGTAAGAACTCGCAGGGGGGCAGCCGCCTACCTTGCCCCTAACGTAAACCTATAATAATCATTATAAGTACATAATAATAATAATAATCATAGAAGTATAGATAGAGTATAAAGATAGACTCATACAGACTCCATATGGCATATACATTATTATTTAATATACAAACCTTTTTATTTTATACCTAAATTAGGTTGCAATTAAATACAATCATTTTTTCCCCATTACTAATCGTTGGTGGACATGACTGCTATAGCATTCGCCAACTAAATACCATTTTTTAGATCAATGTGATTTAATATGTTCTACGTGTCCAACACTGATAAAATTTATACACAAATAATTAGTATTCAAAATAAAACCTTTTTTGAAAAAACAAACACGCGACTGTTATAGTATGCTATTGCTAACATGACTTAATTTTTTTTTTTGTTGTACATTTTTATGAATGCTATAGCATGTCATTACTTTTTTTTTACCAAATTCAGTAGTGATGAGAAACTATATTCCCTAATTTTATGAAGGAGACCCAAGATCATAGCTAGAAATATTTGAAAGGGGGAAAACCTTTTTTTTATACATAAAATTATATATTTTAAGTGAATTATGGAAATATAATAGACATTTTATGTATTAACTTACTAGCTGATAACTGTTATTTCCAACAAATAAATAGTAAAAAAAAATTTTCAAATGTTTTATAAATCAAAAATATTAATTTAATATCTTGTATCACATTTAAAGTATTCACTCTTAGTTAGACATTTTTAAGTAATTTTCTTGAAACTTTTGAAAAAAAAAAATTACTTAAGCTTCGCGGAACCCTAAAGTGATCTTCATAGAACCCTGTGGTTCCGCGGAAAACAGTTTAAGAACTATGTACCAGACAAACTAAAAATGACAACTGTTTATTGACTACAAGAAAACGTCATCTGATCACAACGATTAGCTCCAATTACCAAATTGACATCATTGTTTTTTTATATGAATTTATTTTTAATACTGTTTGACACTTGTCACTAAATACCTGTACTGTAATACTATAAGAATTCATAAATATTCTAAATGTATTAAATTATTTTATGATAATCACCTAAAAAAAAAACCCTAACTATAATACAGATTTGTAGATTATTAAATAAAAAGAAATGTAAACTCCTCAATGTTTATTGTTAAATACAGTTGAACAAATAAAAAATTAATTTTCATAAATTGTAAAACATTCAAAAGAAAATAAAAAAATTAAGAATACAATTTAATTTTCTGATCTTATTTGTTCTACAAGTAATGCAAATTTGACAACTGTCATTACAAAATCATATCCAGAGTTAAATAATTTATCTAGATATTTTGTAATTTCATTCAATCTCGTCCTTTGATTAGGATTATAATTTAAACATTCCATAATCAGTGGTTTGGAACCTTTTTTTTTTGAGTAATCATAGTCCGTCTGTAGAACACATACACAAAATTCGAAAACCCTTCGGAACGCTAAATCATACGCATCCTTGTCCCCGTATCGAGAAGTTCCATTTATCAAACATTCAAAAATGTTCAACAAATACTTCCAGAGAGACATTTCATCAAAAAGATTTTCATCATTTGGGGAGAGAAATAAATCTCTATACTCCAATTTCATATAATCAGCGCATGGAGGATGCTGCTTGAAGTTTAAATCAATTATACAATAAAACGTCTCTACCTTCTTAATGTTTTTGCAGTTTAACATATCATAAATTATACTCTTCATTGTTAATGCAGGATAATACTTTTCCGTTAATGCGATTGGTACATAAAACTTAATGTTATCTAATATTTTACTATAAGGCAATGGTTTATAGAGATCATCTACTTTTTCGGCTTTGTGAACATCTTTTGGTAAGTTATCTGAATAAATGCACTGACATTTGGTGATTACATGACGGAAACTACTTTCTCCGCCTAATGATAATTTGTATGCTTGAACTATTGGATCATTTAATAGTTGCATATTATCTGAAAAATACAACAAAGTTCATATACAATTATACATTATACAAATACTTTGAATATAACTATTTCCTATTTAAACTTTAACAATGATATGATTTAACAACTTAATGATTAATATATGTTGTAAGTCAGTGAAAGATCATCATTTGCTAAAAAGCAAGGAAATTTCAGATTCAAATACCGGTCCAACAACAACATTTTTCATAATTTATTGATTGTCTCGAACAACTTAAAATTCAGTCAATATAAGGTATAAAATAGTTTTTTTTGGATGTGATAAACTTAAAACTTTATAAAATTCTGGTCTATGGTATAATATTGAAGGTTATTATTTAATACTAATTACTAACATTTAATTTACAATTTACCTTCTTATATAATATTATTATACAATTAACAGTTTTTAAACAAAAGTAAATTTATAGTAAGATTTAAATGAGTATCTAACTTCGAGTTTTTGCTACTCGACTGTATTAATACTTTTTTAAAATAGTATTAAAGACACATACAAGCACTATTAAATCAATTGGTAGCAAAATCGTTAAACAATTTTTTCAAGCTTTTAGGTAGAGATGGTATATTAAATACACACATGAATCATAATAGTCATAAAGATGCTATAAATACAGAAAAAGATTTTTTAAAATTTTTTAAAAATCTAAAAAATAAAATTGTTAAAGTAATAGATAGTCGCTGTATGCAATTAATTAAAGAAAACTGTATTCGATTAATTCCAACTATTGAAACAATAATTTTTCTTGGTTAACAAAATATTTATTTTTGAGGCAATTGAGATAACAGCCCAATTGTTTTTAATAAAAAAGGGAATTTTTAAAGAATTGCTTAAGTACAGAATTCATGTTGGAGATACAAATTAAGAGAAACATTTACAAAATTCGTTTTTAAAGGCAATATATTTGTAAAATCAGGCAAAGTGTTTGATTAAATGTTATGGTGAAAAAATAATTAATAATATAATTAAAAGAATAAATAAATCCAAAATATATATCATAATATTTGATGAAACAACTGATTTATTATACTATTACACTCTTATTTTACAATATTTTCATTATGGTATAATTTGTGAAGACTTTTTACAATTTATAGACTTAAGGAAAGAAGTATTATATGAAACTGATGTTAGCAACAATCCAAATTGTTAATTTAGCCAACATTCCAAAGATTTTTTTATATAATTAAGATCTGAATTTTGTCTCAAAATAAATGAAATCAGAATTTAATCTTTGGAAAACTAAATGGATTCGAGAAAATGATGATGGTTTAAATATACCAAATAATGCATTAGTTTCTTTCATACATTGTGATAAAGACATCTATTATTAACTATTAAAATTCTTTTAAAAATATATACTATCTTACCTGTTTACCTGTTAGTATTACAAGTACTAAAAGATGTTTTTTCACATTACAATGACTTAAAAATTGGTTAAAGGCCTTGTCAAACACAATGCATTATTAACATCCCATTATTATTGCTATTAACGATGTTACTAACGTCACACAGAACTACAAAATGTCGCATTCTAGCGCCATGATAATCATGCCGATGATCCATATTTGACAGCTGATATAATTTGTAATTTAATACAATGTGGTGATTTATAATGCGGCATTAATAATGCTTTCTGTTTGACAAGGTCTTAAGGGCTTATTATGGTTGAAGATCAGTTGAATGGGCTTGATTAACTATATATTCATGCACATATAGGCAACAACTAAAAACTATATTAAAAGATTTTCTAATCAAAGGCCCCACTGTTTAGAATTTATTCTTTAGCTTAAATTATTGTTTACCAAATGAATACTAAATACTTAATAAAATGTTATTCTGTGAAACATAACTACTATATAATTATATATTTAACAACCTTTAATGAAAATAAAGTGTGTAAAAAGTTTTATTTATAAATACATTAAAAATAATAACAAATAAAAATGGAATAATTTATTAAAGTTTACGATGTATCTTATTTGGTTCAAGACCATCAAATTGTTTGTTTAAAAACTAAAACCCTTCCAAACTTCAGGTCTGTCACTATCTGGAACTAATTAATATGTAAATACATACAAACCTATCAAAGTATGGTGTTTAAAATTATGTTACTATTTAAAAAAAAACACATATTGTACTGTGTATGCGCATACCAGAATGATAATAATTTTGAAATTATTCTATAAATTTGTATTTATGTCATTAGCTTGTAAAAAAAAAATTGATTTATTCCAATGTAATCTAACCTTGAAATTCAGTGTTCCTAAATTGGTGAAAACACAATATAAATATATATAATGATGAATTATAAAAACATTTTTAGAAGAAAAACAATGAGAAAAAACCAGAATGGCAACGAAAAAAAATATATATATATATATATATTGCAATTACCAGCAACCATTAATAAATTGTCAAGACTATTACGTATATAGTTAATATTAAATGAGTAGAAAAGAATAGATTGTTATTTCTTGTATTGAAGAAATTTATATTAATGTCGATAAGGAAAAAGAGCTATAGAAATTGTGATTTATCCATTGTTAATGATTAAATAATTAATGTTTACGATATTGTACACAATTTCTTTACATATATAGTTTAGATCATATTAGTAATAAAATACTTATAAGTGATTCCAGAAATTTAATTATTGAAAATATAAGTACTATGTGGTAGTGTGTTTAAATATACTATTAAATTTAACTGCACAACACAACATAAAAAAAAAAAAATAAATATTTCAACTTAAAGAGCATAGTATCGCCTTATAATACTATTAAAATTGTACGACTGTAAATCAATAAATCCAATAAAATGGCTTAAACATTTTTTTTTTTTTTTGTGATAAGTATACATAAAACGTGTATTGGAATATAGTATGGTTAGGAGTTTGCGGCTAGATTATTTATTACATTTTCAATAGCTACCTGATTATCTGAGTCAGACCAGTTGTGAGGAAAAACAAAAAAATAAGCTTCGTTAAACGTAACAAGTACTTATTACTATTATCAACCAAATGTTAATTGTGTAAACAAAACATTAGTATGATAATGATAGTATTATTAACCGTGTGGCGTACTGCGGTGCATTTGCAACAGGATGAACTACACAGCGGTTAGTGACAAATGTCGAAATAAATCGAGGACTGAAAAAACTTTGTGGTTAGACCGTTAAAATATTGCTTGTTTTAATTCCGATTTACAGGGGCTTATCACGAATGCGGACGGCAATAAACAATAATCCACACCGGGTTTCCGAAGTTCCATGACCGTTTATAGAATCTCCCCATGTATGCACATAATCATTTTTATCACGTAATGATTACAATCCAATACGATAATCAAGATTAGTGCCAATAGCTGTGTCGTGACTGTCAAGTGTTTCGGGCTTGGCCGTCAACGATTGTTTATTATTTTACGATTTAGTTATTGTAATTTTTTTTTTTTTTTCATAGTAGTAGGTAGTTACAGTACCAATCGACCGAACCTTGACGTTCTCCGTTTTCGCCCAAAGCCGACCGCTCTGGGCCTTTTCCCGTTTACGCCGTCCATCACTTTTCCTTGGACATGATTGTTCTGGAATAACAGTAAGTACTGTCTTAGCTGGGACAGCAGCGGAAACATTAACTACGACATTTGTCAGGTAAGATGTCCGATGACATACCACCTCTGATACCTGAAACACCACCGCCAATGACTAAATTGGATTGGGAAGATGATGAGGATTTCATGGATTTACCTCATTTGGCCTTGGAAATGCCGTCTGAGTCTAGTCTGAGTAAGAATTCTCAACTGGTGTATATGTTAGGACTGTGTTTTAATATTGGGTCTTGTTGGATATAGGCCCTGATGGTGGATGGAATCCTATCGATGAACTGTCTTTGCCTTATGATGGAAATGCCATTGATGAACCCGGAGGTTGTATAAAATTGAATACCTCTCCGTCAGATTGGTCATCGGATATCGTGAAAACTGATCAATCTTTTAATTCAACATTATCTGAACAACAGCCTAGCTTAAATCAAGATAACCCATCCATATGGAAAGATAAGGAGAACATTGTACCACAGGAGAATATTAAGAAATTAACTTCTACTCACAGTTGTGATAGTATTAATGAAATAGACTGCAAACCAGAGATCAAATACAATGTATCATCTGAAAATGTAATAGATAGTAAGAAAAAAGTAAATGATGATGACCTGTGTGAAACTATTGAACAACATACTAGTGATGTAGAAAATACAAAAATAAACTCAACTTTACAGAATTTACCAAATTTAGAGTTACAAATAATTAACCAGGAAGTTGTTGAAAATAATGAAAGTATTCAGCCCGATATTGTTATTTCTGAAAAGTTTTCATCAATCTCATCATCTCATCAAGAAACTTTAGTCAATGGTCACCTAGAAAATGTAAATATTAAAAAATTGTCCAATCAATCCAATAGTGTTCAAAATATATTATTAGATAATTTAATAATTGATCCAAGTGATAATGATACTAAAGTCAATTCTTCTAGTGGTGTGTTTGAAATTTATAATAATGATTTATCAATTAAGAATAACAATAACAATTCTATTATTATGAAAATCGACCAAGAAGAGTATACAGATTTCTGTGACTATGAAACTTCTTCATCCAATGTTATGAATTTGCCTTTACCAGATAGGACATCCAAAGAAGTAACTGAGAATTGCCCAAACATTGAAGAAAAAATAATAAATAAACAATTTAATGATGAACAAGCTGATGTATCACATGATATTTCTATTTTTAATGAGAAAATAGAACAAAATGTTGAACCAATTAATACTAAATCAACATTAAAAAATCTAGAAAACAATATAATTAATTCTGATCAAAATTTTGATTCTGAATTTGATGAATTCAGTGATTTTCATACATTTTCAATTTCAACTACTGAAAAAAAACCTATAAGTACAACTGATAATGATGATTTCTGCGATTTTGAAACTAATGCACCATCATTTAAAAATACAATAATATCTGAAAATTCCAAGTTTCTAACCAGCAATGATAATATTGATTCAATATTTAAATCTGACAATCAAAATATTGTGAATCACAATGACAATATTGATGACAATTTCTGTGACTTTGAATCGGGTTACTCTGGATCTGATTTTAACACAAGTCGTCAAGTTTTAGATGTAAAACAAAATTATGTACCAAAGTCAGAATTTCTTATACAACTTGACTATAAAGAATTTTGTAAAGATGCTTTTCAAGGAGATTATGTAAGTGTTTCTAATGGTTTTTCTATAATTTTTATTATTTTATTATTTTTCTATTTCTTTATTTTTTAAATACTATATAATGATTATTACTAATTATTTACAAGGAGTTATCTGATGAAGTTGACTTACAAAATTTAGACCATGAATTAGATGAGTCGCAAGTGTGGCAAAATTTAAAAGATATAGAATCCAGTCCAGCTCTTAACTATAATTGGTTGAAATCTGAATCAAATAGTGTTTTTTTATCCTCACTTTCCATTGATTCCAGAAACATAGTAAGCTAATTGCAACATTTTAATTAGTGGTTTGATTGTAAATATGCTGGTACTTAAAAATTATTTATTAATATTGAATTTAAATATGGCAGTTATATGGTGCTTCTTGGAACCCAAAAATGCCTAGATTTGCAGCAAATATGTCTAACAATCCATTGGAACCACTAAAAGCTTCTAATAACGATGCAACTGATACAAAAATATCTCAATCTTTTTCCAACAGCCCATTACAGGTGAATTTAATTTCACTTTCTTTATAAACTATTATAACAAGCTAGTATCCTTTAAACGTTAAATACATTTTTATATTATAATTTATAATAAAGGATACAGTGCCAGACCCTGAATTTGATTGGAAAAGCAGTGGTTTAATAAATCCATTAGACTGTAAGTATCCGTAAATATTTAAATTTTAACAAAATAATATATTTTCTTTTTATTTAAGTTTTAAATATTTATTTTAAAATTATTTAGTTTTCATTAACCAATAATTTGTGTCTATAGTATAACATATGAAAGCATTATTTCGTAATTCTTTATAAACTGCGTTTGCAGATACCAAATTATATGGAGTTTTAAGAAATCTAAACATTTATTAATGTAAAATGTATTTTTTAAATTTTTTATTATAAAAGTAAAAAATGTTCATTTTAATAATTTTTTTAATAAATATAATAATAATTGTTTTTAATCTAATTTTTTTATATAAAATATTTTTAAATTTTTAATTTTATATATTAACTTTTTTAAATAATTAAAATATTATATTTTATGGTTTCCTAAAATCATTTTGTTGCTTTTTAGATGATTCTATATTCATTGAATATTTATCATTTTAAAAACTTGTTTTTGTTTTCTTGTTATACATATTAGACTTAGCTAAATAACTAATACTGTAGATTATTAATTGTTAGAAATTAGCAAAAACAATCCAATATTTATTTAATAATATAAATTATATTTTAAAAAAAAGTAGACACCTACTAAAGATTACTTAGGTGTTAATATTATTTTTGTAAAATATTTGAATTTAATTATTATCATGTATAAATAAATAATTATAAAAATCTAGTAACAAGTATACTCAGTTAATTATAATTATAATACTTATACTTTATTCAACAAATTTTGCTGTGATGTGGTGTCTACTATAAAATAATTAAAATGGAACATAAAAAAATAATTTCAAACATTTTATGTATATCCTTTTTCTAGCCACAAGATGTAATAGATGGAAATTAATTAATCATTCTAAATTATCAACATTGGTAAAATTGAATAATATATTAATAAATGCTTTGTTTGTTGGTGATTAAATTTATACATTTTTTGATATAGAAATTTATTTATCGATATATAGTATTCTGTTTTATTTTATTGTTTTTATTTTCTTTGAAATATTGGCTAGAGTAATTCTGTTTAAGAACAATTTTAGTTTAATTTGATAACATTTATCCTTAAATTATAACAATATGAAGGTTCTTATTGTGTAAATTAAAATGTATACTAACAAATTATTATACTTCAGTTCTGAATTTTTTATTTAAACTCTTTGTTACTCCTATGAATCAATTTTTAATTATGCCTCAAAATTTTAAATTTTTATTATTAAAACAAAAATATTTAGAATAATTTTAAATTTATTGATATATTTTACCAGTTTTAGTTATAGATAACTCTATTCCAATAAGTAAGAATAAATATTTTATAAAGTATCTCAAAAATAACGCTTAGAGAAATTGTTAATACAATTGTTTTTGCTAAGACATTAATTTATTATAAATATTAATTTGAGTAATCTTATCCTTTATTCTATAAATATGTCTTATATGTCTAACTACTGGTCTAAAATGTCCTCTTCATTATGCTTTATATTAATTTTTAACAATGGTGGAGGAGCTTAACATGCATTTATTGTGGGCTAATTAGGTAATCATACGTCGCTACTAGACCTCGAACTCCTTGATACACTTGCACCATGCTGTACAAATGCTCGTGAGTATTATTGGTTTTGCTTTAATGTAATTAATACAAATAATACTTTTATTGCATTTATTATATTGCTTTGCTGTGAAATGATGTCTTCAAATTAATAAGTTGAGGCAGTTTATCTAACAACAATATAATAATAAATAAGTTAATTATATTTTTTTTTTCAATAAAAAATTATAAACAAAGCTAAAAATATTTTAAAATATACTTAATTAGTTTTAATCCGTTATTTTTAATTATTGTAATGTAATACAAACAGTTATTAAACTGCCTCAATAATTATAAATTTATGTATATTTGTACTATATTATTATTATTATTATTATAGGATTCTATTAATGTATTTATATAACATGATAAACATACTTATTATATTATGGTTGATACAAAAAAATTATTTTTAAAACATTTAGAAAACTAATGATTTATTATGGGCTTAATACTTAATATTAATATTTGTAATATTTTTTCCATGAAAATAAAATAAATAATGGTTCATCCTTTACTCGTTGTTGGTCTTTATTTTTTGTACTTATTAATTTATTTTTTATTTTATATTAAATAATTTTAGTTCAGCCTCAAACATGGAAAACATCTGAGGTCGTAAAAGAAGAAGGAACACCAGTCCAAAGCAGTCCTGAGAGTGTAGATGTATTTGATCAGTTTTTCAATTCTTCATTAGCATCATCATCAGATAATCAATCAATAGAGACAATAGAAAGCCCAAGCACTTCAGTGGCAACAGTGAGTCTTGAAGCACAAAGAATTTTGGATAATCTGCCTAATTTTGATGTGTTAGAAAAACCTTATTTAGCAATTTTAGAAAAAGAAAGTAATAATTTCTTTTTTAACTAGTTTATATGACCTAATAATAATTACTTAATAATTGGGTTTGCTAGATAAAAAGAACTTAATATTTCATTTTACTTGTTGAAATCAAATCCACCGAGTGCAATAAGTTTAAATAATCTGTCCAAATTGTTTTTAAGTATTGTAAATTAGTTATAACAATAATTGTGATTAATTATTGTTAATTTTGTTAATTTGTTATCTTAAGTTAATATTTTCATCATAAAAAAAGCCATTATAATTCCAATACTATTAAGGAATTTTAATATTTTTAACCTCAGCTTTTTTTAAAAAAATATATATTTGTATATATTTTGTCTTCTTGACTGTCATTTATTTAAAGCTCATTAAGTAAACATACGTTTATAAATTTAAATACTATGTATGAAAATGTTATGCTTACTAAGAGTTCCAAATTGGTTAAAAATATTTTTATTGCTAGGTAATAATATTTTTTAATTTCTAGTCCATGTGTAGAATGCAAGATCTTATTTTTAAATTGTGTTACCCATTATCTATATACACAGGGAGTTTAATTAATCTATATTTATTAAAAAAAAAAAAAAATAAGCATTCTAATTGAACTGTTACAATCTAAGAATTTGATAAATTTGTTTTAAGAACCAAAAGAGCTTTGTTGAGTTAAATTTCGAATGTTGAATGATGTAGGTTTCCTCTGTTATTCTTATTAAGATTCATCTTATTAAATATTATAATATAAATTAATAAATGTATAGTTGAACAAGCTATATATCTAATTAATTAGTACAACCAGGAGAATGATAAAAGGCCATACCATCACTATGCTCATATGCTCATATATATATATATATATATATATATATATATATGTTTAGTTAAATTTTCCAATTATTTTCAAAATGAAAAATTAAAACTTATTATAAATTTAGTAATATATATTTATATACTACTATATTATAAATATATGGTTTTTGTTATAATATTTCTATTAGAAATATTGGTTTAGCCAAAATCTCAAAACTGATCATTTAATCAATTTTTATAATTATGCATCTATCAACAGATAAAAATTAATTTACAATTGAATATAAATTAACTCATTCAACTCTCTCCTAGAACTGCTCAAATATAAAATTTGGAACATCTTATAGTTGTTAACTATAATGAAGTAAGAAATGTTTATTATATATTTATATATTACTGAACATAGATTATTCAAATAATTGAATGAATTTAAAAGAAAATTATTAATAGTAAAATATATTTTGGTTTTAATAAATAAATTATTTCATTTAAATGTAGGGAAACTAATTTATTTAAATTTAAATTAAATTAATTTTACTTAAGTTTTAATTTCCTAGACAAAATTAAAAGTTTACACCTTATTTTTCTTGTTTTTTTTTTTTTTAAGTTATTGTTAGATACATACCTTTCTTTTTTATCACATATCTACCTTATGAATGTTGAATTATCATAATAGTATTATATTTACATTAATATAAAAAACTATAAAAATATGGTTTTTAGTAGTAATTAATTTATAAAAACAACTTTTTAGACATTCAGCTTTCTTATTTTTGTCGTGGATTTAGTGGCAGTTCTAACTTAAATCTAGTTATTTTCACAATATGCATTTTTTTTAAATAAATATAGCCAAAACAATATTGCATAATATATTGGTGCTTTTAACAGTAAATTAAATTGTTTAATAGTTAGAAAATATTATTTTATGTTGAGTGAAAAGTCATCTCACTTGCCTCGTCATCAAAACCGTCACTTGATTGACCTAAATACTAAATAAAAGTATATATATTATTGTATTGACTTAAGAAAACATTTTTCTATCTATTTATGTATTAAATAAATAATCTATAAAAAAAAAAAAAACAGTCAATAATAAATTATAAATATTTTTTTAAAAAATATGTTCAATTAAAAAATGCACTGTGATGAATGTTTTATTTTTATGTAATGAAATATTTTAATATTACATCAGAAATAAATGTTTGGAAACTGAAAGAATTAAATTAACAAGTTTTTTAAATAACTTAATTATTTAAAAATAAACCATACATTTAGTATTTTTAACAATTAGTATTTTTTAACAACATTTTTCATTGTTTTTAGTGATTATTTTTCTGTACCATTTTTTTTATGTTATTTTATTTTAACTTTAACTCTAACACAGTTAAGTTATTTATTAACTTATTTCTTTTTATGTCGACTCTCATATCCTGAGATAGAAATAATGCATTTAATATAATGTTGGTTAGTATGCTAACTAGACTTTTATTTTATTAAAAAGTATTAAATATTATTGAATCTTTCCTACATTTATAAATTTATATGTTTATAAATGTATAACATAGTACTTAAATTTATTCAACAGCGTTTATTTTGGTTGATGGAAATTTGTAAAATTGGATCAAGTTTGTACTTATATTGATTCACTATAAATTTAGTTCTTCTCAATCCTTCCATTTACTTTTAACCTTATTTATTTTTGATCTCTATGCTAATGTACGAAGTACTTAAATTTACAGGTTGTAAAATCCTAAATTTAGTTTTAAGTAGAATATTCTTTTTTTAAAAATGTTTTGTATTTGTGATTTCATAACTTTGACTAAATAAACATTTTTTTAGTTATACAATTTGATAGTTTTCTTTTTTAATATATTGTAAGATAGCCCAAATTGTAAAATTAAATTTCAATTCAAATTAAATGAAAAAATATAATTGAAGTTTAAACATTTGTTGAATAAATTAAGTAGATAAAATAAATAAGGAATTATTTCAGTTATTATTTAGGTAACTTTATGCTAGATAATAACCTAACCTTATTCAATCAGATATGCAGTAAATATAAATAGACTTATTATTATTGTTTGTTAAAAAATAATTAAAAAAATTAAAAATGTAATGTGCATTCAATTTGAAAATTATTGTGATTGTTATCATTCCTTGTACTTTTTAAATTAGATTTATAATATGGTAAATTATTGTTGAAATTTGCATGAAATACCGTGTGTTTAAGGTGTTCAATGTAAGTGATTACTTATTAATTATTTTTAATATTATTTTGTTGTTTAATGTTGTTTGTATGAAATATAATTATGTTTGATTTATAAGAAAAAGTATTATTCCTTTTATTTAATATATAATGTAATTTATAATCATATTTTGTGTTACGACATCCAAATTCCATGTATGACTTATGAACGAATATCTGAGTGATAATATTCAATGTTTTTAGATTATCGATTGTTTATTGGTCATAGTCATAAATTAGGCGTGAAAGTAATTAAATAATTTATTGAGTAAATAGTACAGATAAATAATGTGTTATTATGATTACAAATATTAATGAAAAGAAAACTTCAAAATCATTCATCGTACGCACATGTGAGTACTGGATATGTTAAAAGTCTTTACTTAGGAATTAAGATGTAGAAATGCGTATTACTATTTCAAATTTGAATGCAACGAACGAAAATGTTTGCATTTATAAAACGTTCCCGAACGCAAGTATTAATAAATGTAAAACCTTTTGTTAAAAATAAGCTTTATAGCTTCATCCTCGGAATTTTCTCGTCTCATCTAATTTAATCTAGGGATTTTACAATTTCATTAACAATACGATCAAATCTGTATCCAAATCGAACATGTTATTTTTAAGGGTTTTTTATCGCCTCTCAAAAAAAAAGTGTTAAACTTAAAATATGATAAAAATTTAAATAATAATTACTTATTCAGTTATTGCGAAACCACAAGCTTTTTCTTTCCAACTATCATATAACTGAATTCGTTACTAAAAAGTAAAATGTTGATTACCTATCGAAATATATTTATCTACGCTCTGCATGCATTTCAATTTTGTTTGCATGTTTTCATGAATGAAATAGTTCAACCATTAAATTGTATGTTTATCTATTGATGTATACATGTATAGTAAGATATTTTTTCACTGATCATACATTATTATCGTCGGATAAGTAAGAGTTATACGACCTAAATATTTGTATATAAATGCGACGACTTATGATTATAGTAATGGTTACGGTTGTACATTTCTAAATTATAGAATTTTTTTTAAATTTCTTTTTATTTTGTTTTAAAATTGTTGTTGACATACTTCGAATTCAAATGTATTGTAAAAGTTTTCAACTTGCATATATCCGTTTCAATATTCTATATAGTTAAATAGTTAATATTCTTTTTCTGTATAAATTACCCTACATTCACAAAAGCGCATGTATTTGCCGTTGATTAAATAAATAATAATGAACTTGGTTATTACCGAAAATTGGGATATTTGGTGTGTTGGAAATAAGTTTCATATATTAATTATACGAAATATGGCTCACGTCAAGGAGTGCCAAACACCTGTGTATGTTCTTATTTTACAAAACAATTTTGAAAACATTTGTAACAAAAATTTTCTATACTATTGTATTTTGTTGGTGCTCAAGAGTAGGTATACTGTATTAAAAAGCTGTTTTTTTTACATTTTTTTTCGGTGGTATGGTTATAAGTGCAAGCAAAAACCTAAAATAGTGTGAATCTGTAATGGTTGAAATTTGGTTGAATTTCTCATTCTCATTTTAGGAAGTTATTTTATTAGTAGTTGTGTGAAAATAAAGCTATTATGTGGTATAGTGTTTAAATAACTACGAGATCAATTTTCATACGGTAGTTGACTAATTTAATACATTTTCGATGTTCATTTATAATCGATTTATTGCCTTTATTAAAATATACGAGTGCCTACACGAAAAAATTGTGAACACTTTTGTAATCGTACGGCAAGATTTGAGACATATTTTTGGGTGTGCTAGTTGAAGTGACTCGTTGACGATCCTCGACCGTCCTCTGCCATTTATCTACTACGTTAATACTTAAATATTTAACCGTAATTAAAACCAACATGTCATTTCGTGGACGAGTGACCCGTGCCCACGCAACAGACTCACTATAATCACAATTGAAAAACGAAAAATGCATGTGTAAATTAATGTGTGAAATGATTCTTGTATATGGTATTACACTTCCCCCCCCCAACAAATTTAATACATTAAAATAATTCAAAAGATGACATTTTATTGCGGTTCAAAATCGCTAAGAGTTGCTAAATCCCTCGGATCGGCCCAGGAAATGTTTATCCCGATTTCATAGCACTCGTGTTAATTAGCTGTTTGAATAACGCAACACAGTATGTTCCATGTCCTTCCGCAGCACCAGTAAAAACGAAATAGCGGCATCCTTAGCCTGGGCCGGATTAAGCACGGAGCCTGGGAGCCCGGGCTCCAGGCACTGAAATATTAAAGGCCCCGAAGGGGCCTTTTATTTCAGGCCAAGTTCAAAATAATTTAAGTTTAAATTTTATTTTGATAAAATTTTCGTATTTTTACTATATGAATTACCATTGATTATAAATACTAGTATAATCAATGGTATTACGCAGTGTGCTAGCTACCACCTGCTTACGTGCGAGCAGTAATATCGGTTTGGAATAATAGGACCTTATGATATTATATTATACTTAATATAAAAATAGTATGATAAAATATAATTTGTTTGCATTCACCGAACCGTCTAGGACATTACGTTATTACGACAATATTTTGTTATCTGTAGATTTGATTTGAATTCATTTATGACTATATTTAGATTGTATTTCCTAGAAACATATGAGCGTCGATCGTCGACCATCATTTACGATTTAACTGTAAACAGTGTAACAATTGGCACGTAGTACGTAGATAGGTACACATTATTTGATATTTCATACTTGTTACGAAAATGTCACAAAAATGTGCTAGTGGAGCCGTTAAGCGAAAGCTTAAAAAAGAAAAAGAAGAAAATATGAAAATATTACTAAATAAGGTAAGTCTATTGGCTATTTAAAAGATATTAATTACTATCCCATGTATGATACATAATGTATCATGGCGTATCAGTAAATTGTATACTGAAATATTTATGTTTTAAGTTTTAACTCGCAGTTTTTATTTAGTCGTTAATTCGCTATCTATTACCTTTATTTAATTTTTTATTTTATCACTAAAACTAGTTTCTATATTATATGCCTAACAATTGGTGTTACAAAAAAATGAAAATATTTACTGCCAAAATTGGAAATATAATATAAATAATAACATAATTAATAAGATAATAATATAATGTATAAGAGTAAATAAAAATAATACAATAATTAATAATAATAATATATCATAATATAAATATAATATCATATTCATACGGGACTACGGGAAATTATCATCTGCATGCGGTTACGGATTTATCGACATACGTTTACTATTGTAGTTTTGTCCCGCATAATACATGTTATATAATATATATATAAATCTCTGTCTGTCAATTCACTAGACATAAAATAATATAAAACTCAAAATTAAGTACATTTAAAATTACGCTACTCAATATATTTTAAAATTTATTTTGATTGAATGAAAGTAATTAAAATTTTAACTTATTGTAAAAAATTATAATTTGAAGTATTTAGATAAATGTATTTTTTAATTCTACTACAACAAATACCTATGAAATATTAATTCAAATACTTTATTTATATATTTAAAATATCTACATTACAAGACTGGCAAATAAAAATTAAAATGTAGGTAGCACTTTTTCAGTTTTTAGATTTGATTATTATTTCTTATAAAAATAAAAGTGTGTCTATAATTTTGCTACTCCTATAATGCCAACAAGTATTAATTTATTTTAAGGTAGATATTTAGTAGTTAGTAGTTAGTACATAATATAATTTAAAATATATATTTTCTACAGGTCCCTAAATTAACTTCTTTTTTTTCGAAATCTGGTTTTGAAATGAACGAATCATGTGCACATAATCTTCAATCCGTTCAACTGAACATAAATCCTGGGCAAAACTTGGGCAATGATTCGCATCCCGGAGAAACTTCTAATGCTTATGTAAAAACATGCATTCAAAATATAGAAAATGAAAATTTGTTAAATAATATTAATAAACCAACTACGGCGATTAATTCTGAAACCTCCACACCATCTACTACTGTTACACATATAACTGATGTTAATAGTTGGTCATCCAATCCAGCTTTATGGCCCAACAAAAAAAATCAAGCTGTACAATACTGGATACATAGAAGTAGATTACTCCCAACCAAAATTTAAATAATGATTTTACCGCTTCTAGCCGTGTACAAAAACATGATAATAAAACTAGAACTTGTTCCCCAAATTTTTTTTATTTCACTACAAAAAATGGGGAAACTGTAAATAGAAAGTGGCTTATATATTCTCCATCAACTGGGAATATATTTTGGTTTTATTGTATTCTTTTTGGGAATCCTCAGGACAAGTTTAGTTCTAGATATAGTGACTGGCCTCACGGACAAAGAGATATTAATAAACACGAACGAAGTGTTATTCATTTAGAATCACTTAGAATATGGATATCACGTACCTGTACATCAAAGACGTTGACAATAGATTCACAGCATAAATTATTAATGGAGCAACAGATATTTTACTGGCGAGAAGTTTTACGTAGAGTATTTGAAACGTTAAGATATCTTTGTGGAAGAGGTCTCGCATTAAGAGGTGATAGTGAAAATTTCGGCGATGAGCAAAATGGAAATTTTTTAGTTACTCTTGAGTACTTATCAAAATTTGACCCATTTATAGCTAAACATTTAAATGAAAATTCAAATAAAGGTAGAGGTAAAAAATCTTATTTATCTTCAACGATTTATGAAGAATGTGTTTTAATAATGGGAAATAAGCTTTTGAAGATGATAACAAAAGAAGTAAAATGTGCTAAATATTTTTCTATAGTTGTTGACTCATCTCGTGACACTTCTCATATTGATCAACTAGCTATTATTTTACGATACGTCAAGATATATGATTCCGTAGAAGTTCATGAACGTTTCTTATGTGTTGAACCTGCTGTTGGTCATTCTGGAAAAAATATTGCTCAAGCTATTTTGAAAAAACTTGAAGAACTTGATTTGAATATATTGGATGCAAGGGGCCAATCGTATGACAATGCTTCAAATATGTCTGGGAAGTTTGAAGGAGTACAGGTGCATTTGAAGAAGTCTAATAAGTATATGGATTTTATTCCATGTACTGCACATTCGTTAAATTTAGTTGGAAACAATGCAGTTGACAATTGTTCAGCTGCATCCGTATTTTTTGAGTTTGTTCAACATTTATATACATTTTGTTCAGCCTCTACATATCGATGGGAAACAATTTGTGGTGATTTAAAAAGAATTGATGGGAGAACTGTAGTCTTAAAGAGTTTGAGTGAAACACGATGGTCATCTAGAGCACACTCTACTAAAGTACTTTGTGAGAATTATAATATCATACTTAATCGTTTAAAATATTTAAGTGAAAATACGGAAATAAAAAAAGATGCACGAAACGAAGCACAAAATATAATTAACAAAATGACATTACTTGATATTGCTTTCATGACAGTACTATGGAACAGAATTTTAGAAAGATTTGACAAAACTAGTGTTAAATTACAAGAGAAGTCACTTGATTTATCAGTCGCTGTTAAGCTTTTAAAATTTTTACGGGAGTATATTGGTTCAATAAGAAACAATTTCAATGATATAGAAAAAGTGGCATTATCTCTTTCTAAAGTTATTTCTAAAAAGTATAATACTGAAAAAAAAAGAAAAATAATTCGTAAATTAACTCCAGATGAAATGATTCGAAACGAAGAAGAGACCACTTTTTCTGGGCAGGAGAAGTTTAGAGTTGAAACATTTATAGTTATAATGGACAAATTAGATATATGCCTGCTAAAAAGACTTGAACAATATAACGATTTAGATAGAAAGTTTGGATTTCTTACTTATTTTAAATCTATGACTGAGAAAGAAATCGTAGATATGGCAAAAAATCTTGGTAAAATATATCCAGACGACCTTGATTGTGACATTTTTCCCGAAGAAATGATACATTTTACCAAATTAGTTGATGAGCAAGATGAAGAAGGAAAAATTAAAATGCCATCAGCACTAAAATGTCTTCAAATTATACACGATAATAAACTCAATTCAGTGTTTCCCAATGTGGAAGTAGCGTATAGATTGTATTTATGTCTTCCAGTTGCCAATTGCAGCGCAGAAAGAGCATTTTCAAAATTGAAAAGAGTGAAGAACGAATTGAGGTCTACCATGAAAAATCCACGCTTGAACGCTTTATCATTAATGGCCATTGAGAGGTCTCTACTTAAAGAAATAAATACAGATGAAATAATTGTGGAGTTTCAAAAAAAGAAAAGAAAATAAGGTACCTAATAAAGTTAATTTTAAAATATTTTATTTTTATTTTGACATTTAAACAATAATGTTGTATATTTGTATGTAACGAAAATTAACTAATATTTAAAGATTAAAAAAGATATATCTGTACCTACAATCAATTAATTTGTATCATTTTTTTAAAGAAATAAAATTCAGTTATTGGTAATTAATAGTGTATGAATTAAGGGCCCTTTGGACTACTGGGCTCCAGGCCCGATAAACTCTTAATCCGGTCCTGTCCTTAGCGACACTCCCATCCTTCGGTGTAGTTACGTCACTGATGCAAGGGTACAATGTACACACCGCGTAAATATTTTATGCTGTTCTCATACACGCGTCGCGTTACAATTGTGTGATGTAGGTTAAACTGACACGTGAAAAATGTGAAGTTCGATTAAAAAGCCTCCGCGTCAACTTAAGTAATGTTTATTTCTAAGTACAACGTCGTACCTACCAGGGCCTAAAATGTTCTGTTTTTCGTAAACTAAATGTTATGTAAATGTTCGTAGCTATGACGTACTTGGTAGCAGTGGTGCCGAACACGTACTTTTATGGGGCAGTTCGCCCCTTAATTTAACTATGGTGGTGGGTGTCTGGAGTTTGGGTGGGTATGGGGTGGGTTAGGTAGATACATTTACACTCTAGTTAGTAAATCTTAGGAATGTACAAATTAAGTGACACTCGATCTGTAGATGGTAGTATACTATGATGCGATTGAGCAATTCGCCCATCAATGCATGTCTTTATACCATATCAAGTATAAATACATACATTGTCATTTATATCTACTTTGCACACATGATGAAACTAAACGTCTTTCGGTTCTCAGTGTTTAAAAGTGATTATACAACATGCGAATACATATTTTAAACATTTTAAGATAGTTACTTAAATTATCAATAGCCCCGTGAAAATTTTTTGAAAAATCTTTTTAAATTAAAGTTGTTTAAAAAATAAAATAAACTGTTTTTTTGTTTTACATTTCTTTAATTTTAATAACGTATTTAATATTTAAATAATTAAACCTATATTTATACACGCTTCAAATTGATATTAAATGTTTTTTTCTTAAACCACTATGAAGTAGGTAAGCAATAAGTAAGGTAAATGTGTAATAATTAATATTTATTTTATAATTATCATTTTCAGTCTGTATGATTATTGATTTATTATAAAATATCAGGCATTTTACTCGATTATAATTTATATTATTATTATTATGTGCTGTTTTAAGCGGCACATTTATCAATAAATACAACCGTATTCTAAAATAGACTTAGCAGTGCGAGCTGTCGGTTATAACCTCCTACCCTCCTCTTGATACGTCACTGCTGAATAGTACCTATTTAATAGATGAAATTGGAGTGATAAATTGCGAGCGAAGCGAGCGACTTTATGATGATTAAATTTACAATATAATCATTCAATCATGTAACTTGTCATTATTTTACTCTAATTTTTTGGTGGTGGCATTAACAAATATTTATACTCTTCCCCATTAAATAAAATACAAGTCGGCGCCATTGCTTGGTAGTTGTTTGAGTGAGGTCCTGAGTCCAAAATTGATCGGGGTGACCACGCGTCAACTGGCGCCGGATATAAAATATTAAAAAAAAAATAAATGTGGATTGTATTAATTACAAAATTATATTATACTCAAAAAAAAAAAAACGCGGCAACAACCAATGTAATAACTAGGGAGTGAATGTTTATGCTCTAAAAAATCGAAAAATATACTTAGACTGTAATTAACGGCGCTTTCCATTACCGCACAAACATAACCCAATACCGCATACAGAAATAGGTAGTACGGAACTATTCAAAATATGCATAAATAAAAATTTAGTTACGATATCGCAATAATATGTTAAGGGGGCCACACGCTACGATGAAACATTACGGTTTTCATGGTCACAGTTAAACAGGTAGGTTTTCATAGTTACGTTTACATCGTAGTGTATCGTCTATTGGTTGAATTTGTTTTAAAATCGAGTCGTACTTCAGTTTTTATTAAGTTTATTTCATCTTAGATATTGCAATTTTTTTTTTTTTGTACGTCATAAGTTCGACGCAATTGATAGCAGTGACTGTGGTAAGTGCTGTTTTATCAAAGATAAATACTATGGAATGTTCCGTTTAGAGCGGTTGTTAAAAAGAGAAAAGATTTCTCATATCAATTTATTGAACGAGCTGAAGTTAGATTCCGGAGATTGGTTTAATTTTTTAAGAATGGATTAGCATACTCGCTTTGAGTGATTGAACTTGGTAACTCCTTAAAGAAAAATACCGTTAAGGGAAGCAATTTCTCCCCATGAAAATAAACATATCGGTTTTATATCGGGAAACTCACACATTACAATTTGAAATGACAAAAGGTAAACCCACCGTGTTTAAAATCAAGGCTCGATAGAAATAAAAACCTTCGTGTTTCAACGTCAGATTTTTCTCTCACACTTCCGTTCTGACCGACCGTTTTTACTGTGAAAATGAAAACCTTATTGTTTGGGCACCTTTATTCATGGTACTTATTAGTTCAAATTAGTGATGGGAATTTTACCGTAGAAAATATTCGGCAAATTTTACGGAAATTTACTTAAATTTTTATAATAGTGTATACTTTTTTTTTTACTAATTTATTACGATCATAATAACATGTTTATAACTCGGCTAACCAGTACTACCACTGGACACTTATCCATAGAATCTCAAATATTATAGTTAAATATGTATAAGTATGAGTAGTATGTTTAATAAAATATGAAAATTGATTGGATGTATAGTCATGTTATAACGTTCATCAATCTTATTTAGCAATATTGTTTCTTCCATTTCAAGTACCTAATGGGGAAATTGGAATATGAGTTATAAACACAGACTTCTATACTAACTATACAAGGTATTGTCGATATTTACTGAAGCTTGGCTTATCAGTTTCCGCCATTTTGTCAGTTGGCAAAACATTGAACGTTACATTTAGTCCTGTGCAGCATTATATTGAATATTCTTTTAAAATTGATTATTTATTATTTAATAGAAAATTGTTTTTCACTCGTACAAATATATTTTAAGCTATAAATTTTCTCAGGACCATTTAGATATATTTTTCTCTAAAATTCGTCAGCGTTTTGGTAATAATAATAACCCTAATGTAATAGAATTTAAATCATCTATGAAACAGTTGTTTTTTAAAAATTCCATCTCTTCATCTTACGCTGCTAACTGTATTGAAATGCACAATAGTAGTGTTGAAAGTATATTTGAACTATGCTGGTCAAAAAGAAATTCTGATGATTTATTAAACACTGAATATGAAGAAGAATCAAATCTTTCAGATTTTTTGATAGATGAGACTGACCAATCCAGAATTATTAAGGATAATATTTTTTATTATATTACTGGTTTTATTGTTAGAAAGTCACTTAAAATAATTGATTGTTCAACATGTGTAGACAATCTTATAGAACAATCAAGTGAACATAACTATAGTCATAAACATGTCTATTCTGTATTGACTGGTGTGAAAAATGGAGGTGGGTTATTAAAGAGTTAAAAAAATGTTATGAAATTAATTAAATATATTGGAAATTCTTTAATCAAACTAACTAACAATTTTACTTCTTATATATCTGGTTTATCTGCAAAAATAATGATTTCAACCAAAAATTATGATTATAATTTCAATATCTTACAATGACATGTTCCGATCATTCATTTTTAGAAAATCATAGATTAGATTTAGTAACACTAATCTGTAAGGAATATTTAAAAATATGTCTACATCATGTTGCCAAATCAAAAACGTCTTCTATTGTTAGTAAACGGCGACAATTGACCAAATTAGTATTATTTAGTAATATGTGATTGTATATGTGTATACTGTGTATACTGTGTATATTGTGTACTGTGTATGTTTTAATAATAAACTAATATGTATATATTTGTGATAAACATTGTTTTCTTTTTTCTTAATTATATTTGGTTTAATCCTTAAATTTTCACATTATTTAAATCTGATTTAATAAAGAAATATCAAGGAAATAAGTGTTTGATGCATATAGAATAATAGATTTTGTTGCCAACCGACAAAATGGCGGCTGTTCACTTTATCAGCTTCACTCATAGCCATGTAAATTATATAGTAGTTACTTATCTAGTGTAGTATAGAAGTCTGTGGTTATAAAATGTTGTTTGATTTCATTCAAAGCTTCTGGTGCTACAGAAAGTCTTGACGTATCACTTTTAAGAATTGTAATCTAATTAACTATTAGACGAACAAGAGTGATAAAATATTCAACATAGTTTCAATATTGATCTGATAATATCTTGCGTTTCACTGTTTTGTTTAACTTTTCTATTATCGTAACAAAAATAAACATGGACAATAAATATGTTTAATAATATAATATTATTTAATATATATATAATTAATAATAAATTTAAATATTTTTTCAATTTACTAACATTTATATAATCAGAAACTGCCAAATTCTAATTTGCTTCTAAGTTGCTAACTTTTTAGCCTCATTTAGACTTTTTTTAAGTTATTTTTAACTTTGGTTTTTTAGGACTCTAAACCCTGAAATTGTTAAATCCTAATTACGCCCATGTTTACCATTAATTTTGAATAAATACCACAGTTTAAATTTTAATAAGTAACTGGAATGGCTAATATCGACTTGAAGTTTACCAAGCCATAATTTAAATGGTTTGAATAATTACAAATAAGATTTTTGACATTTTTCATTTATGCTATGTGTAGGTATACATAATATAAGGTAAATAAATGAACAATTTTTTCAGTTTTATATACAAATTAAACTTTTATTGATGCCACAAGTACAATTAAATAAATAGGTAATATATCAACTATATATTAATATAAATATGCAAAACAATACATTATAGTTAAAATATACAGATAGGTAAAAATTTATTGTGATTAATACATAATACATAATAAATTATAATACATATTTTAATGATAC